TTTCTGATGAAGGGCTTGATTTAAACGTTCCAGTTGATGACTATAGATCTCTGCATTGACAGTTCGCTGTGGATTGAGGATTTCGAAATGAATTAATCCTTTGATGCGGATACTCACTTTCTGCGGATGGAGTCCAGGTTTTGGGGGTCGGAAGTGGTTCTTGTCTAGGACTGAGCCATTGTTTTTGGATTTTAATATTCGCATAGAGAATCCACTTTTCATCCCTGGTGACAATTCTGTCCAAAAATGGTTCACGCGCATTACGCACCAGAAGAGACGAAGCAACGTTCACACGTTGAAAGCGATGATCATCGGAGAGTTCGTGAGGCACCCAAACACCTTATTTATGGAGTTTTCCAAATTCTTTAAATGTTTACGTATTGATTAAAGAGAGACATGCAATTTCAGAGCCATTTCACGAGTGTGTTGCCTTGGGTTAGACTCAACAAGCATCTTCAGAGCATCATTTCCAACATGTCGGCCCCTGGCATCACAGTTTTTAAGACTAAAATAACCTGAACGAAATTTTTTGAACCATCGTTGACACTTACGAACGTTCAAAACATTTCCATAAACTTCTTTGACATTCTTTGTGGCTACATAGGCGTTGTTTCCCTTCTTGTATTCAAACAGCATTACATGTCGAATGTGTGCCTCGTCGTGTGCCATCACTATAAGGGAATGGAGTATACTAAACTTCACACATTATATAGGCTAAACTATCGTGATGTTTAGGCGGTTCGTTTAACTATTATACGTGATGTACCTTTCTTTTTTGCGGGGGGGGAGTAATGAAAGTGTTTCAAAACGCGACATTAATTTCTTGACGACCTAATATAAGACCTTAGCAAATACAAAAGCAAGCTATAAATATAAAACTAAATAAATAATGTACCACTACCCATTTAACCCCAATATTCAATTTAATTTATTCCAGAATATATTTTCCTTATAACTTAAAATTAATAATAAAGAGAAGAACAATCTAAATTTATGAAATAGTTTAGGGTAAAACGAAATACTCTTAGTCCCTTCTCAATATCTCTCTGAATAATTTATTGTAGTATTAATAAACAATGTTCAGAATTGAACAAAGCTATAAGAAATACTACTGACCTTCAGAAACTATTTGAACAAACAAAATTAAATCTTATAACAGTTTCGAATTCCCGTCCCACCAAACCTACTTGCCCTTTCAGCCGTGGGGCCATTATAATGTGACGTCAGTCCTACTATTCGTTGGCAAAAGAGTAGCCCCTAGGAGTTTGCGATGGGTGGTGATGACTAGCTGCCTTTCCTCTAGACTTTCCCTGCTAAATTAGGGACGTCTAGCGCAGATAAGCCCTCGTGCAGCCCTAACCACCTGACCATGCCGGGCCATAGGATGATTTCTCAGAAGAAGTTTATCATTATTTATCTTAGTTTACACAAAACTCAATAAAGAGTCCAACAAAACAGTTTTACTTGTATAGTTAGAGCATTGATTAAAATACATATTCCACTCATGTTCGTTTTTCAGAAGACTAACTCCAGGGAGCCAAACTTCTTTAAAGAAACACGACACACCCTGCTTTACTTCTTCGTGCTTCTGTTCAGAGTTAGAAGTCTAAAGTGTATATAAATATTTACATGGATGAAAAAAAACACCCGAAAAACTCCGAGCAAACACAAATATCACATTCAGCAAGTTTTTGTGCCGCTTTAGATACGAAACTTTGTCTCAAAATATTAAATAGGAAGAGAAGCAAACGTTACTGAAAAAGGATGCCAATTTTTTTCTGAATAGCATTTAATTCATTGTATACTTGCATTACTGTTTCTTCCAGTGTCCTTTTGTTGGTTTTATGAATTTTTAACTTGTAAAAATGCAGATTTTGTTGAAGTTTGAGTAATTTTATACAATTTTAACAAATTATTTACGTTAAATTCAAAAATAATAAAACATGCGCAAATAAGAGTGTTTGTTTTATCGGATGTTTTTCACAAAGCTACCTAGGGCTAGCTGAGCCAGCTCTCCCTAATTGTGAACTAATACACTAGAAAGAGATCAACTAGTAACAAATACTCATCATCAACTCCTAAAATGGTCTAATACATAAAGTAGGACATGAATGCCATTTTTACAACGAACCCATGGGCCCAAAATGTGAAGTGTGATTTTATAGCATCAGATACGATTTGTATGTTTAAAGTCAAGCACAAAGCTAGTCAAGGGGCTATCTGTGATCTGCCCAACACGGTTTCTAGAGTTGAAGTCCGCAGACATATCGCTGTGTCACTGGGGACAGGGGGGGGGGGGGCATCGGATATTATGAACCATGGACCTTTGGATTCAGAATTCGGCACTCTAACCACTAGGCCACGTTAGACCCTAATAATAATGAATGTATAAAATGAAAGAAGAATATTCTTTCATAAAACAATATCATCTCGAGTTTAGGTTTCTTAAAACTCAGGGAAAATGTTTATCCGGATACATAAAGATATCTCCAACTAAATAAATAAATGATTCCAAATAGCAAGCTCTCTATTTATATATATATATATAGGAACTAAAACTTAATCTAAAAATTAATATAGTTAATTAACCATAACATGGCTAATCATCATAATATATAATATTTATATAACAAAAATATATTCAATGTATATATTAACCATCTAGCGAATACTATTAATAAAATTAATATTAAAGAAATTGATAGTATCAAGTAAACCCTGTTATTCGGTAAAATAATTGACAATATATCTACGTGTAAATAACGTGTAAAGCTTTATTATTATCTTTCACACTATGATTTTGCTACTGCTATAAATAAAAATTAGCGATCGAATAAGTATAAAACTGTAGATTGCGGACTTAAGTTCCACTTATAATTATTACCTTTTTTTTCTGATAATTGTTGGTTGAGTCGTATAAATGTTTTGCCGAAGTAAAATTATGTAGTTTGTACGAATTCGTTTACTGTGAACAATTATTATAATTACTTTTATGAAACGCCTGTTTACTGACACAAATCTTTAATTTGCCTGAATTATTGTTAATATCTTCAAAACTGCTAATGCAATTCTTCAGTTTTATTAATAGGAAAACTACAACAAAGATTACTAAAATCATAGGTATATTTATTGTTTTGTATCAAAGTTTCATTTTTCTCTTTACATTTATTGGAGTTACCAATGATAATAAACGGATTAATATTACGATACTCATTATTTAAGTAAATGTTCTTTAATGTATTTCAATCAATTACCGACTAGAATTGATAAATCCTTATTTGTAGCTTATTTTAGAACCGGCATCAGACTTGTAGTTGTATGTATTATATGTAGTTTGGTAATCCAAAATAGTTTCGGTAATTAAAAATGTTAAGTTCTTGTTGTGCCTTTGCAAGGCACATAGGGCCGATTCTTTCGAATTCAAGTTTCAAATGACACAAACGGATGAGAATGGTCACTCATTCCCCCTGGACTGGGCAGGATACCAGTTCATCGCAGGTTAACCCCTCAGCTAACAGATGGTACCCCTATACTTCCAGGTAGACTGAATGAAGTGGGGTAAGGTGTGTGGCTCAAGGACGCAGCAGCACGACGCTGGGCAGGATCGAGCTCGCAACCATCCGACTACACGTCCAAACCATTGAGTCACTCTGATATTACACATTGAGTTTGAGTTACTCTGATATTCCAGAATGAGTACCAAAGTCTGACAAAGTGTGGTGTGTTTCTGTATGATATTTCCATTGTCGCTTTTAACGTTTTAATTTGCGTCATTAATTTGAGTTGTTTATGTTTGTAGGTTAAACCCGAGCACTTTACATAAAGTATATGTGTAAGGTATATGTACATTAGATGTGCTTTCACAGGGTCCCTGAAAGTGTTCTCATTCAAGAATAAATACAACTGACATTAAGAGCAACAAATATTTATATTTTTTTTGTTTTTGAATTGATAGGTCATGCTGGGTTGTAGCATACAGAATGCATAATTCTTCTCGTGATTCATGGCATACACAAATTTTAATGACGTCACAAGATTAAGCCTGCCTTATGTGACGTCATTTTAGTTTCTACTGATTGACTGATAGACAACACGCTACTGCATAGGGGTGCGAGTGGTTAAAATAAGTGATTTCTGCAGTTGTTCTTCGGCCCCCTTTCGGGGAAATAACGCTAAACATAGGGTTTCGTTTTATCACAACCTGTTCCTCTACTTAATTTTGTAATATATCATTACGCGAGCGAATATCGCTTAAAAATTGAATAAAAAATAATGTAAATGGAATAAACAAACTTTATTACATTTCATATGAGAGTGTCATTTTTAATCTGTTTCTATTCCAGTGTTTATGGATATAACATTCTCCATTTATTATTGGAAGGCTTCTAGAAGTAAAACCTTTATAATGTAAAAGAACGACACATTGCTGTCTACTCACTGATAATATCTAACCAAAGGCAGATATTCTCTGTCGGATTGTGCTTATAATCGACCCGACACCTATACCTTCCACCATCTTCCTCGGTAACGTCTTGAATTCGTAGGACGGAAGGAATGACATCAACGTCAAAGAAGGCCCTATCACCAAGTATATCGCTAGGGAAATGCTTTGGCTGGTTGGTAAGGCCGTTTCTGGCATCAAGGATATAAATTGGGGTTGATGTATTACCTCTGTACCATAAAATCAATGCTATCCCATCTTCAGAAAACATCGTGAAGTTACATGGAATCTCTGCTGCCTTGCCTTGTAGAGCATCATAGGAGATGAGACCTTGTGGTAAGGATGAAACTGAAAGTTTAATAAGACCAAATTAACAATTACAGCAACTTAAAACAATTTTTGTAGAGATATTAGGCTATATATTTGTAATGAGGTTAAAATATGGTCACGGTTTTGCGTATTACATTTGCAATAATAAATTGCCTGTAACAACTAGACTGATAATGAATTTCAAAAAATAGGATTAACCTGTATTCGTACATAAAATGATATATATATATCTAGTATCTATAGTAAAAACAAATAATAAGAATAACAAGGTACTACACATTTTCAAAATAAGTATAGATAAGAATAAATTGTAGGAATGCAATAAGATGAATTAAAGATACAGCATATCTGAAAATGAACACCCATATTAAACTAGTCCAATTTAATTCAGTAGTTTACAAAGAAAGTAAACATATCAGGTTTATATGACTAAACCTAAAAATAATAAACATATTTTACTAATTTGTTTGTTTCCTTCATTAAGATTAACTTTAAGCATCTCGTCTTAATAAAATGAAAACATTTTATAATTCAGAGACAAAAATGTTTGTCTTGATTGTTGTATAAAATTTAGATTGCATTAGACATAATTTGAGTTCGTATTTGTCACTTTACAAAGTCGTTTTAATTATTTTTGCTATCGATCATGCCACTGCTATGCTCAGCACTATCATCTCAGGAAACTTATTAAAGAGACTTATGCACGATCAACAATTTTCATATTCATTTACGTGTACTATGAAAGTTTTGAAATGATTCGGTAAAATATTCCTAGTATTCAATGCATATTGAAGAATTTATATATATAAATATACTTCATTTACAAATCACCCATTTCCATGCTTTTAAATAAGGCTGAACTAATCCGGCTTTTTATTTAAATATAAATTACCTAGTTTAAATAGACAATAAAGCAATTACAAAAGAGACCTAATTTACTTTTGTCGTTGTCTCTTTCGGATATTTTGCATGCGTATGAGATAAAAAATTACCTATTAAATCATAACTCATTTTAGTTACAGTTTACGTTAGAGAACTCGTAGAAAATATCTGATTATTACTTGAAATTGAAATCTCCTGAACAACGTAACATCCTATGTCAATAATTATCTTTAAATACCTATTGTATCTGTTGTATGTATTATTGATGCTCAGTCAACGTTATATTAAAAAAACGCAAAACTGGATTTATCATAAAATAATATGTAGTACTAATGTTAAAACTGGATTTATCGTAAAATAATGTGTAATACTAATGTTAAAACTGGATTTATCATAAAATAATGTGTAGTACTAATGTTCAATAAATGATTGAAACAAAGCTACGAAACTCAGACTCGTTAAAATAATAAGCTTTCGAAATATTAGAGACTGCTTACATTTTTACCAAAAGCGCTTCTGATTTGTTTTCAGATAAATGGCATTTTATTCTTTTTCAAACAGCTGGAAGCACAAATAAATTACGATTATATACATAAGAACGTTGTTGTTGTTTCCTTAGTGCAAAGCTACTAAATGGGACATCTGTACTCTGCCCAACGAATCCCATATTTTAGCTTGGTAACTCCGTAAACTTACCGCTGACCCACAAGAGGACGCTAAATAAGGATCTGCCATTACAGGACCTATGAAGCTAGATGGACAACATTTTTCAGAAAAATCTCTTTGCTGTGACTTTCGTTGTCTATGCTCATAGGCATACGAGGATTTTATTTTCAAATTATAAAGAATGGTTAGCAATAAATCCATACTTTGAATATAACGTATATCACTCTTTCTATGCGCTTACATATCTTATGATTTCCATCGATCCATTTATATATGTATCTGTGTGTGATCTTAGATTTATAGTAAAAACAAACTGAAGATTTTGTTGCGTAAATTAACATATATATTTGTGTGTGCTCTGAGATTTATATCAGAAACAAACTAAAGTTTTCGTTGCTTAAACCTAATATATGTTTGTGTGTGCTCTTAGATTTATAGCAGAAACAAACTAAAGTTTTTTGTTTCGTGAACCTAATATATGTTTGTGTGTGCTCTTAGATTTATAGCAGAAACAAACTAAAGTTTTTGTTGCGTGAACCTAATATATGTTTGTGTGTGGTCTTAGATTTATAGTAGAAACAAACTAAAGTTTTTGTTGCGTGAACCTATACAAAGGACTATACATGCGCTATCCACAATATGAAATTAAGCCCATAATTTAGCAGTGTATAAGTATGCAAAAGTAGCGCTCACCAAATACGTGATAGTAAAAAGGTGTGTGAAAAGATTTTCTTTGCCAGCCGCTTATGCTGACAACATTATAATTTAAACATTATGCGTTTTGAAGCATAAACCGTCAACCACGATATTATATTACACGCTAAGACTTTCTTTTAAGCTTTTAAATACCCGAAGGACAAATAACGACCTGATGAAAAAAGGCCAGTTTATTATGTCGTTTAAATTTGTAATGTCTCGTTCTCGTGCCGCAAATAATAAGGCTGGACGAATTCATTGTTCTAGTTAAAAAAAAACACACATTTATGTTGCACACTGAAAACAAAATTACATTAGATATTGTAGCTCATCATATAAGCTCTAATGTCCTATTCATATTAGTATATGTATAGATAGGAGTTACAACATTACACAGAGAACTCTGAAGCAGAAAGGTAACGTATGTATTGTGCACAAAGAAAGATTTACGATGATGACGAATAATACAACTCGTTAGTGATGAGGACTGGAAGAGATTCAGAAATATGCTGATAATAAAATATTCTATGGCATTATGCAATATTACATAAACATTAGCTATGTCTCTAAGTGCCTTTGTTGTTTCTTAGTACTAAGCTATATAATGAGCTATGTGCATTCTGACCACCGCGGGGAATTGAGCTCCGAAATTTTGCGTTTTAAATGCGTAAAGATATCACTGACCCAGAGGCGGACATTCTATGGGCTGCTTGCAAGCTTGGGATTAGATGATGAATCACTGAAAATTGAAATATATATATGATATCACGATCAACATTTTGATAATGTATAACATGTTTTAACAATTAATATTTCTCAAATAAAATCAAATAGTCTAAAGTGTATTATTTGTACTTTATTGAATATGTTGCCTATTCGTTTATTGTCACAATAATATTTTTTTTTTTTTGGCTTTCAAGTATTATTAAACTTTTTGTATTCTCTTGTTTGTAATTAAGCACAATGCTACACAATGGGCTATCTGTGCTCTGCCAACCACGAGTATCGAAGCCCGGATTCTAGTGTTGTAAGTCCGCAGACACACCGCTGTGCCACTGGGGGGCAAACGTTTTATAAAATATATCTATATAAGAGTACCCATGCCAGCTATTGTCCACTATTCTCTGAGCGGATTTGGTGATTTTACCGCCATTGTTATATAAAAATCAAAGGCCCAAAGTGTGGAGCATCTTTTTGAAGTAACGGAGAGCGAGCCGTGAATCCTCGGATTCACAGTCCGTGAACTTTAACCAAAGACAGCGAGAGGAAATTTATGAACAAAGCAAGACTCGCATGCATGACTGTTGGTAAATAATTTTTACCTATTCAATAATCCAAGCTTTACTTACATTATTTTATTCCATTCGATAAAGTTGTTTTAATAAGCTTACATATATCTTCTGTTATCTGTGTCAATGAAACTTGTATCGGATTTAAGGTGGAACAATCTAACTGAAAAGTACATTAGAGCAAGTGAATTTCTCTTTTAAGATGGAACAATCTAACTGAAAAGTACATTAGAGCAAGTGAATTTCTGTTTTACGGTGGAACAATCTAACTGAAAAGTACATTAAAGCAAGTGAATTTCTCTTTTAAGGTGGAACAATCTAACTGAAAAGTACACTAGAACAAGTGAATTTCTTTTTTAAGGTGGAACAATCTAACTGAAAAGTACACTAGAGCAAGTGAATTTCTCTTTTAAGATGGAACAATCTAACTGAAAAGTACATTAGAGCAAGTGAATTTCTATTTTAAGATGGAACAATCTAACTGAAAAGTGCTCTAAGACAAGTGAATTTCTCTTTTAAGGTGGAACAATCTTTAAAAGCGATATTTGAAGCGTATTATGCCATAATGCTTATAGATAGTTTAAATTGAATGAAATAAATAAAATTTGTATTAAGCAATCATCCATGTATTCGAAAAATTCTAAATTTCATAGCTTAAAAATTTTTAGATGTTGTAAATAATCGTCAGATACCTATTGTACAAATATATTAAACAAACTCTCCAACAGCAGAATGACAATATCTTTTATAAAAGAGACGTCTATACAATGTTGCAGTGTCAAAGACTAGCGATTCATTAGAACTTGTTTTCCTAATGTTCACACTAAAACTCACCAAAATTGTAATTTTTTCCCACACTTCTGTTAAATTTTCTTTTACGGAGTTAAATCGTATTTTTTCCCCTACTTCTCTTAAATAAATAAATATATATATATAGTTACGAATTTAAAATCAAAAGTGTGTTCAAACGTTTGAGATCTGGATTTATTTATATGAATACGAAGTACGAAAAAAAAATTTGCTAAATGGTAAAATATCAATAACCGACGAAAGCTATAGAATCAATACTCTTAATATTCGTAAAATAACTCACGGCAGAATGAACTGCATATGTTTCTTTTTTTTATCGAAATTAATCTTTCATATCCATGATTTTCTGTTGCTCAATAGCAGGTCTGGTGCTACAAAAAATAGCTTAGGAAGCCATCATAGTCTGGACCAACCAACGAATTCTGTACGTTATTTTTGTCATGAGTATTAATTCTGTTAAACCATAACATAATTCATAGGGTGAAGTTATCGAAACAACAATGACCATATTTGGAAGTTACTTTATTCTATATAAACTTATTCATCAATCCTAAAATTATTAAATATTCTAGGAGTATAGCCCATTGGTTTAATTTTTCATAATACTTAATTATATGTTTTACAGCGAAGCCACACTGGGCAATCTAGTGTTTACCTCAGGGAACCGAACCCCGA